ACCGGGCGCCGTGATGCCGCCGGGCAGGCTCGACTTGCGGCCATTGGAGCCGGAGCCCGAGCCGGAGCGCTGCGACGGGTTGTCGGGCGGGTACTTGATCTTGGCCGTATCGAGGACGTGGATCATCGAGGGGTCGTCGGGCTTGACGCCGGCGTTGAAGCTCTCGCCGCCGAGCACGACGACCTTGTTCTGGTAGGCGGCCAGCGCGTGGCCCGACCGGCCCGTCGGCGAGGGCCCCATGTTGGCAAACATGTACCAGCGCTGGTTGGAGATCTTGAAGCTGGCCAGGTCGCCGAGGTCCTTGCCGTCGACGCCGCGGCCGCCAAAGATGTACATGACGTCGTCGACGAGGCAGGTGGCGTGGCCCTCGCGCGGCACGGGGATGTAGCCGATGCACGAGAGCTCCTTCCAGGTGTTGGAGGGCACGTCGTAGCACCAGGTGTCGTTGTAGTGATACTGGCCGTCGGTGCCGCCAAAGATGTACACCCGGTCCTTGTAGGTGACGCTGACGTGGCCCGTCCGCTTGGGCGGCAGCTCCGAGTTGGGCGTGATGCGCTCCCACGTCGGCGTGCCCTTGAGGCTGTTGAGGTCAAAGCTCCAAAAGTCGTTGAGGAAGGCGCCGTCGACCTGGCCGCCAAACACGTAGAACTTGGAGCCAATGATCCAGACCGTGTGGCCGTACCGGCCGACGGGCGCCGAGTCCGGGCCGTCCGAGGCCGCCTTGACGCGCGTCCACTCGCGCGTGCTGAGGTTGAGCAGGTAGAGGCCCTCGTCCTGCTTGTCGTCGGCGCGCACCTTTGTGTCGCCACCCCAGAGGATGAGCACGTTGGACACCAGCACCGTGGCGTGGCCGACGCGGGGAGGTGGGATCTCGCCCGTCGTCTGGACCAACGTGGCGCTGGCATAGAGCTGGTGCTGCGGCTGGATGGCGCCGCCGGCACCGCCGGGAGGCGAGCTCGGGTTCGGCGGGCTGCTGGCCAGCCGGTCGACGTAGACGGTGTAGAGGTCGTTTTTGACGCTCTCGCGCACGAGGCCGCCAAACAGGTAGATCTCGCCGTTGGGGCTGGCCGTCTGGTTAGCGGCGTGGCCGTAGCGCGGGAAGGGGAACGGGCTGAGGGCGCCCGGCGGCGCCTGCCTGGTCTCGTCGAGGAAGCGGGGCGGGTTCATGACGATGCCTCGCTGGCTCCACGGGTAGACGACCTGCTGTGAGCGCACCTTGTCGGTGCCGGCTGACCCAGGGCCCATGGGGATCGACGAGGTGCCTGGCCCGCTGGCGCCGGCGGGCACCGAGTTGGCGCTGGCCGAGAGCGGCAGCCCGGGCCCAGACGACGAAGGTGGCAGGCCAGAGATGGAGCCGCCCGGGCCCTGAGGGCCAGAACCGATGCCGCCCGAGCCCATGCCGGCCATGCCGTAGCCGTGGGGTCCGGCGGAGCTGTCGTTGCTCACCTGGCGCAAGCGCCCAGGTCCCGACGAGGGCGGCGGGATGCCTGAGCCGTTGGCCATGCCCATATCTGGACGCGGGCCGGGAGGCTGCCCACCGAACTTGAACCCAGAGGCGGCGCCGGGAGGGCCTGGGATCTGCGAGGGTGGCTGCTGCTGCTGCTGTGGTGGTTGCTGTTGTTGCTGGTGCTGCTGTTGCTGCTGTTGCTGCTGTGCTGCTGCTGCCGCTGCGGATGGTGGTCCGCCGCCAGGAGTGCCGAATCCGCTTCCTACGCCAGCGCTGCCGGCACCAGAGATGGAGCCCTTGTTGCCCATGGTGTGCGAGCTGCTCGACGAGGGTCCTGGGATCTTTGAGCCTTCCCTGAGGGCCTGGGCGCCGGCTGCCTTTCCTGCTGATCCTTCGAGCGAGGGCGAGAGGGACGAGATGCTGTCGGCCGACGTGGGGCCGCCGGCGGCGGCCTTGTCCTTGTCGGACTTTTTCTTTCCAAAGATGGCCATGGCAGCGGCGGGTCGTGTGCTGCCGGGCAGGGCCGGGCAGGGCAGGTGTGGAGAGGGAGGGCGGGGGCGCGGTCAGCCGGGAGAGGATGGATAGCGCGCGAGCGGTGTCGTCGTCGCAGGGCAGAGGGAGAGGAGGGTCAAGGTGGGTGTGTTGGTGGTGGTGGTGGTGTTGGCGGCGACGGAGGTGTTGGGGATGATGGAGGACGGCAGTGGCGGCTGGCCATCCAAGGGCTAACCTCGAGCAGGTCGGCGTGCAGAAGGGTCGGGTGGGTCTCGTCGAGTGGGCGAGATGAAATGAAGGGTGGTGGGAAGCGGTGCGAGGCTGTGGGCTCGAGCGGCGCTAGGTGAGGGTGGATGAAAGTGGCCGTTGCGGTGCGGTGCGGTGGCAACCTGCGACGACGATGATGAGGACGACAATAGAAGGGAGAGGGGGAGAGAGAAAGGGGCAGGCCGACGACGCGTGGGAAACGAGGGCCCGGGTGCAGCGCAGAGAAAGCGGCGAGCGAGCGAGTGGATGGCGATGAGCGGGAGGAGAGGAGGATGGTGAAGGAGAGGAGGGGGCGGTAGACCGCTGCGGTCGTGGTAGTGATCCAACCCAGGGCCCGAGACGACGACGACGACGGCGACGGCGACGGCGGCGGCGGCGGTGAGGATGCTGGAGCAGCGTCGACGGGAGCGCGGAAGACGGGCGACGAGGCGAGGATCCAACGTCGACGACGATGGACGGCCAGCGGCGCAGCGCAGCGCAGGCCTGACCTGGCCTCTGGCAGCCAAAGCCGGGCGC